ACTATGGGTAATATTTACTAACGGATGTACTATGAACATTATATACAGGTTGTATTAACTATGCACAGAGATTTACTATAGATAAATATATGTACAGGTTGTTTTTAATATTCATAAGTATGTAGACAGATATGAACATAATTGCAAATGTATGTGTTAGAGATGCTCCGAGCAGGATTTTTGGAGCCGATACCAAGTACCAATTCCTCGTCATGGTGATCGGCCGATACAGAGTACCGATTCTGATGCTTCAAGCTTTATATAACTTTAACATTACATAAAGCACGATTTCCCTCTAAGTATGATACTGAAGTGGAGATCTCTTTTTTAATAGAAAATAAATTAAAGATTTTGTATATAATTCCTTAAACACATTTCTTATAAACATTTAGTGTGGACATATCATGGTCACAAGCAGCTTTAATGAAAATATTAGATAAACATAAAAAAATTGGTAAGAAAAATGACTGACAATGGAATTTGCAAACATTGCAAATAATGGAAGAATAACTCAACATCTCTTAATGAAGAAAAAGTTTGAAGTGCATATTTGATGCATTAGAAGTTAAAATGTTCATGTGATCGGGCAGATTAGATCCGATTGAGTCACAAAATGTGGTCATTGGCTGATACCGGTCTCCGGCCGATCGATCGAAGCATCCCTAGTATATTTACAAATTTACATAGTCATTCTATACTGTGATTAAAAAGGACCAAGGATTAGGATAAATCAATAAATGATGAATGATATACTGCCATTGCATGTTTAACTTGCAATGGCTGCGAGTTCTGATTTAATCCTGATTTAAAATGTAACTTTGATAAGGTCATTAGAAATTTATAACGTAATACAATTCAATTATAGGTAGTTTTATTTTTACTAACATGCAATTAGTTACTATATCCAGCACTGAATATTAGATGACAATACATATTGACTATCAAGATAGTTCATATTCAGCATCTGACCCTAGATTTGGTGACAAATGTTATCCAGTGTTTACAGCTTTTATTTTCATTTTTTAAATTTTAGATGCAGGTTATTGACAGATGTTTAAGCTTTACGTAGAGTATTTGTAACTAGTTTAATCTACACAGATCAAATTAAATCAAATCACTTTTATTGTCACGTCATCAGCTGCATGTGTACTATGATGAGTGAAAAGCTTAGGTGCTGGCTCCAAAATACAACGACATACTCCAAAAACAAAACAATATGCCATTAGCAATGTTGACAATAATATGTTAAAGACAAATCATACGTGAAAGACAACAAATGCATCAAGAAAAACACATTACACACATGTAGGTACAGATAAACAAGTACACAGTCAGAAAGGTGTACACAGAGTTTGACAGAAGCAAGACATGTTCAATTGTTCTGTTCAGCAAGACAGTAACAGACATCCAATCACAAAGTATACAATGCTAACATTAATATGGATGTGATTTGCTTTAACAATGAAGCATATATGTTATGTTTAGTTTGTGGTAGCTGTGAAAAAAATACAAAACAGTAACATACATGTAACAAAGAATAGTCTATACTCTTTGTATCTATTCCATCATTCATGTTAATTTCGGCTTAGTCCCTTTGTTAACGGGGGGCACCACAATGGAATGAACTGCCAACGTATCCAGCATATGTTTTATGCAGTGGATGCCCAGCTGCAACCCAGTACTGGGAAACACTCATACACTCTTGCATTCATACAGACACACTATGGCCAAATTAGCTTATTCTATTCACCTAATGCATGTCTTTGGACTGTGTGGGAAACCGGAGCACCCGGAGGAAATCCGGAACATGCAAACTCCACACAGAAATGCTAACTGACCCAGCTGGGGCTTGAACCAGCGAACTTCTTACTGTGAGGCGATCATGTTACCCATTGCACCAACGTGACGCCCTCTTTGTGTCTATTTTATATATTTTTGCTTATTTATTATTTCATGCTTTGAAAATGTACATTATTTTGCAGGCTTCAGTGTTGTAATAAGATTTATAAGGACTAAAGTAAGCGTGTCCATGGCGAGTTGGATTTGTCAGATGTTATTAGCCTTATGCTAAGTCATAACCGCATGAAGTCCCTCTCTCGTTCCATTCTTTCTAAATGAACAGATTTGTCCTAGTGTCTGCACGAGAACATATGCACACCTTGCAACCGCTGCAAATAAAATTGCTTAAGAGGATCTGGAGGCTGTTCTTTACGCTGAGGTCTGTGCCTGACTCGTCATATTCAGTTTGCACTTATTCAAATGAGCAGCGGGGCTGAATGCTAATTTGAGGGTAGCGATATTCACTTGCCAAGACATCCATCAAGAACCCGCTGATGAGATTAAACGTGTCGCCCTCATTGTGAGAAGCGATTGTCAAAGGGTTGTGCTACAGGACCTGGGGTACGAGGCCAGGACACATTTGTGAAGATTCACAATCCAGAGACACTTAAGTCTCTAATCACACATGCACCGGTTGAGCCGCTCTGATAGGGAAAAGGAAAGAGCTCAAGGTAATCTTTGTGACTGGATGTCTGAAGATCACATGTGCCAGCATCTCTCTGTGCGCCACCCACACAAGAAGCAATAGCGGAGACCCCACTGTTATGACAGCTAAATCACCTTCTCCAGTTAATCTACCAGTGTGTGTTTGTGAGCACAGGATCATTGTGTAAAGTGTGAATGTCTACCTGCTTACTCGGGGGTGTGTGTTAAATGTTAGACGAGCGAGTGTGAATGGCACGACAGCTGCTGATCTCTTGGTTCAGGGCTTTGTTTGTGCTTGTTTCTTTGTCTTTGTGGTTGTGCGTTTGCTTGCTGTAGGTGGCATCTTTGTGAACGTGGTCGTGGTGGGCCAGGATGCCAAATAATCTTGAGAAAGTAGTTGCAGTTGATTTAATATTAAGAAATGCATCGGTATCATGAACTGTTAGTTTAAATATATTTACATTTGCTCATTTGATAGATGCTTTTATAAGTGACTTATAAGAAAGATGCAAAAAAACAATTCACCATAAAGTGGCGTGTGTAGTTACAAGAGATGTTGTAAAAAGTTTCTGGCATGGTTAAAGAAATAAAAGCAAGAATAATGATGGATTGTAGTACAGAAAACATAATTTGTTTTGATTTTTTTTTTTGTGTGTGTTTTTGTTTTGTTTTTGTTTTTCTGTTGTTTTTTTGTTTTTGTTTATTTTGTTTTGCTTTTATGTTTTGTTTTGTTTTATTTTTTGTTTTGTTTTGTTCATCAAAATCAATCAAACCCACAACCTCGGTGTTGTTTGCACCATGATATTTTTGAATTTGTGCTATTATTGTGCACAAATTAAGCCCTGAATATACTTTTTCTACATTCACAAATCTGCAAATCTCATATAAGACATGGGATTTTTAAAATAAGCCCTTCCTGAGAAAATAATAAGACATTGAAGAATATTAGAAGATGGACAAATCATGACAGTCACTTGCAGCATAAAATGCTGCATCACAACAAAAACACTTCCACTGTCATCATATAGTCACTTAAATAGTTGCATATTGCTTATATCGATTAAAGCAAAATAATTCTTATTATTTAAAGGTGCAGTATGTAAGTTTGATCCCCAGTGGTTAAAGTAGGTGTTGCATTTCTGGATTAAAACAAACGCAAACACAGGTTGCCAGATTGAGGACAGGAGCGAGTGATTTTAACCGTGTTCTAGCAACAGCACTCTGTCCCACTTTATATTAAGTGTCCTTAACTACTAAGTACTTGCATCAAAAAAATAAATTCAATGTACTTACTGTGTTTATAATGTATTTGAGAACACTTGTGGTGCCTTTTAGTTGGGATAGAGGTTGGGTTATGGACAGGTTTGGTGGTATGGGTAGGTTTAAGGGGGGGTTGAGGTGTAAGGGATGGTCAACAGTGTATTTACAAATGTAATTACAAAAGTTAATTACAGATGTAATTACATACATGTATTTAATCAAGCATAAGTATACAGTAAATACATGTATATACACAATAACTACATTGTAACAAACTATTAATTCTTGTGTAAGTGCATAGAAGTTAAGGCCACTTATATACTGCATTTTGTTGCATTGTACTTGTACATGTGTAATGAAAATAAAGTTGAATCTAATCTAAAATATATATATATATATATATATATATAAAGTGGGACCCAACACTCGATAGAAGGAATATTTTCCATATTAAACTTTTTGTCCTTACCAACACTTCAGATTGATATATTAGAAATGACTTCTATTACTTACCGGTGAATAATTATAAACCTTCTGAATGGCTGTATTTAAATTTCTGTTGTGTTTCGTCTGGTGCAAACAGCCAAACTGCTTATCACTGCATATCTCGTCACAAAGCGTGTTGTTAGGACACAGTGTTACAATGTAACCTGCTCACCTAATGTTTACTTTCAGAATATTTACATTATTTGCTAATTATAACCTCATGTGAAACTCTGAATCTGTGTCTCATTTCGGAGTCTGCTACTGTCCACCTGAGGTCACATTTACGTCACGAGCACATGCTTTGAGAGCCTTTCTGAATGAATGAATTAAATATGTGGTTTTCCATCAAGGCAAGCCAGGGTGCGGAAATAGAATTGGCTATGGCATTGAGCAGGTTAAAATGACCAAAACAAAGACAGATGTTTCGGCATGGAAAACACATTTTCAAAGCAGAATAACTGACTGCAGCATTGTTTTTCTGATAAACAAGAATGTTCTCTTGGCATGTTTCTTAAATATCTGCAAACATGTTATGGTATTATTGTGCTTTAGAAGATTTAAAAACGTACATACAGCACCTTTAAATCATTGTTTGTTTGTTTTTTTGTTTTTTGTAATTTCTTCTGTTACTCATTTTTTCCCTTGAAATGTTGTTTCAATTTGGGGTTTAGAAAGCACTTATTTTGGAGCACCCTTAAATGTATGTTGTCATTCTGCTTTGATCACATACAGTAAGCTAATCGCTCTTTGTCTCTCTGATCTCTGTGCAGGGTGTGAGCGGTATGTCCGTGGATGAGAAGTCTGAAGCTCCCATGTACGTGTATGAGTCGACAGTGCACTGTACCAACATCCTGCTGGGTCTGAATGAGCAGCGGAAGCAGGGCCTGCTCTGCGATGTGACCGTGCTGGTGGAGGGCAAGGAGTTTCGCGCACACAGGGCTGTACTAGCGGCCTGCAGCGAGTACTTCCTACAGGGGTTTGCCACCCAAACTGACAATGATCTGGTGCTCAGCATGCCAGAGGAGGTACGGAGAAACACTTCTGCATTCACAGATTTTAAAACATTTTTTTATTGTGTTGTAGGATGACTTGACATTCCAGGGCAGCCCTTTATTTCAGCTATGTTTTTTTTGTCCAGATTTCTTTTTGTCCTGATGTTTGCTCGCTTTTTTCGCTTTTCAATAGTTCACCCAAAAATGAAAATTATTATAATATGATATTCAGTGCTTATCCACAGGTTTAAAATATACTTGCGGTGGTAGCCATCACATACACATAAATGGTTAACTATATGCGACAAACAAAACATTATTACATTTTTAGCAGTAATTTTATTTATTATGACACTGTTTTACTCTTTTTCTTTTCAATGGGTCAAAGTAAAAAAAGAAATCCACTATTTATGTTACTTTTATGCTATTCAGGAGTAGGCATGAAATAATAACCGATTTTAAGGTTTATCGTGGTTTGGAAAAGTCAAGGTTTTAAAACCACCAATGTTTTCTGCAATACCATTCCTAGGGTATATGTTAGTTTATGTTTTTACATGTTTTTACAGCTAGTCTATTTAGTTTTTAGGGCAACTGTATCTCCAGCAGAACCTCAACATCAAAAGCTACTAGTACAAAATATTTTAAAGGTTTCTTAAAATAAAATATATCAGCTTCCATGGGGTAAATTTTTTTTTTTTTACCCAGACATTTAAAAAGAAATTATTTTGGGCAGTAATCACAATACCATGAATTCTTATCCAAGGTCATCATACCGTCAGAATCTTTAACTGACCCATGCCTATTCAGGAGCCATGTGCACACACTGACATGTAAAATCTGCTTCTCTCTTTTTCAAGTTCAAAGCAAACTTGAATGACAAACATTTTATATATGCATATAGAATAACCTATGTAATATATTAACATCATCAAATTAATAAAATAATCAGCAATAGAGAAATAAACGACAGAAAAAGGAATAAAAACAGATGGTATCTCTAAAAATTATCATAATTAAAAGATTAAAACTTGTGGATTATTTAAATAAGGCAAATGTGTTGATTAACCACTAAGGGTGTACATATATTTTGCAGCCAGTTTAGATCAGTCATTTCATCCTTTCTGAGTATGTAGTAAAGTTTTTCTGAATCATTTAGATTAAAGAATCTGTTATTTACTTTTTTCTTTTGGTATGGCGACTATGCGTGCTGTCAGCTGTGAAGCAAGCGGAAAATAGTCTTTAATAAGTGTAATAAGAGTAATGCAAAAACACATACGAGAATTAGAAAGCGTAAGTAAAAGTTGAATTATGGACATTTTAGGAGATTTAGTCTCTGTGGGTCAACAGAGCATGTGAGACTGTCTATGGGAGTGCTGACAGGTCTCAAACACAGATTGAAACGGGTAAATGAGAGAGTTTTTTTCACTACTTAATCAATCACGGATGTTTGTTTATATTGGCTGGATACAAAAAAAGTGTAAATAAGGATGTAAATAATAGTAAAAAATGTGTCATTAAATATACTTGAGCTGCTATTATCATACCTGGGCACCCCGTCCAAATAAAGTCTGTAAGTGGGAGGCACTGACATTTATAATTGTGATAATTATCATTTACTATATCTCTCATGTGGTGTCATATATATCCTTCATAAGTTGTTGCACGAGTTGTTTTTGTTGCTTCTGATAAACACAAAAGAAGATGTTTTGAAGAATGCTGAAACCCATCCACTTCCATAATAGGACAAAATTCCTATGGAAGTCAATGGGTGCCAGATCACAGCGTTTTTTTTTTTTTTTTGTTCTTTCATGTTCAACAGAGGACAGAAACTCAAATAGGCCTTAAACAAGTGAAGCGTGAGTAAATGATGGCGGAGCTTTTATTTTTGGGTCAACTATCCCTTTTAAGTGCTGATCGCTAGTTGTAGGCTTCTGCCATGCGAAAACTGGTAGCCAATCATGTCATAGTATTCTGTATTTTGAAGGAAAACCAATCACATTTCCATGTCGAACAAGTTGCAGTCCGTGTAGGTGGGACTTGTGCCATCTCTCGTCAGGCTGGTTTCAGTGTCAGCCACCAAGAGACAGAATCAGCCATGTGAAAGCCATTATAATTATAACCACATAAAATCATGAATGAACATTAGACTGTATGTTGAAAGAAACAGTAAAACATCTTGAAATATATTGCATCTTAAATAACCTCCTATAATTCTTTCAACTGTGTCTTAAAATTGATGTTCAACTGTAATATTTTATTCAGCATAGATGCATTAAATTGATCAAAGTGAAATGAAAGATGTTTTCACTGATAGATAAATGTATTAATAATACTACTACTACTAATAAATTGTTTTTGTAATGTGTTTTTCTTAAACTCAAAGTGTTACAAGGCAAAATACCAACAAGAAACGGCACAACAATAAAAAGATGCAATAAATCTTGAAAGAGCAATAATAGTGATATAGAGCTGCTTTTGAACTTTCACAAAAATACTTAACCTCATAATAAAAACCAGAATGAAATATTAGACGAAGTGACTGTCATGATTTGTCCATCTTCTAATATTCTTCAATGTCTTATTATTTTCTCAGGAAGGGCTTATTTTAAAAATTCCATGTCTTATATGAGTATTTTGACCCTAACTGATATTGCCTACAGTTTTAAGAGGTCTTTAGAGTCACATATGTAAATTAAAATTGAAGAAAAACAATTTTCAGTAAAATGGCCTGCAGATTTGCAGATATGTGAATGTAGAAAAAGTATATTCAGGGCTTAATTTGTGCACAAAAATAGCACAAATTCAAAAATAGCATGGTGCAAACAACATGTTTTTGTATTGATAATAATAGCAAATGTAAATTGAGACGTTATTTGCATGTTAGAATGATTTCACATTTGACATTGAAGACTAGAGTAATGGCATATTGACAAATTAATATTAAACACATATTTTTATATATACATTTTACAATAGAAAATATTTAAGTTAAAATTGAAAAACCTTCACAATAATACAGTTTATTATATATTTTATAAAATAACTGTAGCCTTAGTGGACAAAATAGACATATTTTAAAAACAATACAAAATCATGTTGAATAAAAATGGAAGTGTATGGTTTTTGGCCATTATTGACAGTCTGACTTTACTAGTAAAAAAATCCTGACATAATTTCTCATGCATGTACAAATGTCTACATGATTACTATACTTGCTTTATTCTTCACGATAAAGGATGACTAATCAGCACTCATCACCTGTCTGCCTACCATATGGCAGCACCCATTATTTTACCCATCTTTATGAGCAATAAGCATGTGTCTCCAACACACACTCGTGCACTTACATGAGCTGTAGTTTATATTCTCACACAGCCCAAAATGCACATTTAATGAACTAGCATCTGTTGCATTAACCCTCAATCGCCGCTCTCTGGTTCATAGACCCAAAATTGAGATGCAATGTTTCACTAAAGCAAATCATTAGCATAACAAATGGCTGCATTTATTATGCTTTTTACTACATAGCTCAGGCAAAACGTGATTTTAATGGGATATTCTTTATTCATTCCCTGCTGTTAGTCTGTCAAGTGGTTATTTAGTGACGTGTATGCATTTAAAGTTTGTATTGAGTGTTTTAAGAAAGATTACACAAAACAAAAACACGTATTTGTGACAGAAACTAATTACGTGAAGTTAAGGTTTGCAAGCTAGCTAACATTTCACTGAGTTAGTAAGCTGAAGTGTACTTTAAAAAAATACTTAAAATTAGAGAACAATAGCAATCCTTCATCACTTCCCTGATTAAGCATACTTGCTAATTTAGCACAGATCATAGATTTGAATATTGTGAATTATACAAATCCTAATGTTCTACATTATTTTAGTATCTGTTTAAATAATCATGTTGAACATAAGCCATTGCTGGTAAAACAACAACATTAATTCTGCAGCAAATCCCCACCAATTAGAATTGAAATAGGCAATGCATGCCAGAAGCACACTGTATAGTGCCCATAGACATATAGTTATGTATATATAGATGTATAGATGTTTCTATGCGCTCTTATACATCAGCCGCCCACAATGTTGGAACTGTCAAAGACGTTTTGTGAACACTAGAGAACAAATTGACTGCTTCTGCAATCATTAAATATCTATATATAATAGACTTTAGCAGACAATTTCTCTAAACTAACATCATTTGTGCTATAAGTTTAGACTCATTGCACATTCTAAAATGGCAGATGCCAATGTTTACATATAAATGTATTTGGTACTGCCTCACTACTTCCATTAAGCACTAAAATCCCTTACGCTCTCAAGCTACTTAATCATTTTTATTCATAAACTGATGCATTGGCAATAAAAGTAATCTGATCCAGTAAATAAAATTAAATAATCTGTATTTTTATTCACAGTGCTTCAAGGCATTTTAGTTCTTTCCCTTGTTATAAGTACACAGACTTGTACTAGAATTTGTAATGCTGTCATTCACTTTATAAATGACTGTTAGGGTTCATGACTGTTAAACTCTTTACCTCGGTGTGTTCAATTTTATTAAATCTGAACAATTGAAATGTGGTCCAGTGGTTTGCTATGTGGAATTTGCAGTTGAAAGAAATGCATTCACGCACATGTAGTCTCTCTCACACACACACACACACACACACACACACACACCCCTGCTTTCCATGATTTGGAGTGATTGAGTTTTCCACAGAGGTGTTAATGTGACATAAGAACACCTCCAGTGATGTATTCACACCTAGACTCATACACTCACTCTCATTTGAAGACACACATACACACACACACACACACACACACACACACACACACACACACACACATCCTTTAAAAGTAGGACACTTCAAACGCATCAGGCATTTAGGCTAGGTGTTGGTATTGTTTATTAACTATTTAATTTTTTCTCTTTTTTGTTTATTGAAATGAAGCTGAAATGAAAGAATAAAACTGTTGAATCAACTACAGAACAAGCCGGATCTGAAAGTTGAATTCCCATTCATTTT